ACGAGTCGGCCAAAACGATGATATTATGAAACTACACCGGAAATCGTTTAGCAGTGATGTAATCGCTGGTGAGTTATGTAGGTCGCCGGCAGTCTTACAGTTTGACTTTGCGTATGTCGTCTTCTCGGAAGTCAACCCGGAGTCTGAGTAACTGGCGTATGCAGTCGGGCGTCAGCTTCCACGAGAACCGCATGCCGCTGTCCGGGTTGGAGAACTCGTTGAGGTCGGACGTCCGTTCAAGGTTGAGCACGGTGATGATCTGCAACAGCCGGGCGAACTTCTCGCGTACCGGCCACGCGCTGGCCCCGCTGAAGTAGTTGATGAGCGTCCGGACCACCTTGTCTAGCGCCATGCCGCCCAGCCGGTTGAATTCGGTCTTCATCACGGCCCGTTCTAGTTGCGCGGCCGTCTCCGCGGAAACGGCCACCACCAGCATGTCATAGTTGTTGGGAGTCAGCCGGGCGCGGAACTCGGCTAGCGTGCCGTCGATGTTCTGTACCAGTGCCACCACGAAAGGGTTGTCGGCCACCGTCTGCGTGAATTCCGGTTCGTCGAGTGTAAAATTCTGTTCGTAAAACGGTTCCATCCACGCCAGAACCTTCGGCTCGACTAGCGAACTCTGCAGCTGCTTAAACCCGGACCGGTTGGCGGCAACCAGTGAGGAGTTCACCCGGCTGAAGTCGTGAAGGCAGCTGTCGAGCTTCTCCGCGTGACAGCTACGCAGCCTGGCCGGCACCTCGTCCCGGAACGCTTGCGACAGGGACTTGGAATACTCGACCGCCACCTCGGTGCTGTTCAGTGCGGCTAGGAACGTCCGCCGTACCTTGTCCAGGTCCGGCGTGAACCGGTTGAAGTAACCGGACCCCGGATAACCGGCGCTCAAAACCTGCATAAAAACCGCACACATATCCGTTTCCAGAGCGTTTACTGCGTTGTTGATGACCGCGCACAGCACGTCCAGACTGCCGGACCGCAGCGAGCGCATTACGCACTTCCGCACGATGAAAAACACGTCATCCACCATGCTGGACGTGAGCGCGGCGTCCCCGCCGTCTCCCTCGATCGTGTCCATCAACACCGCCTTCCTGATGCTCTCCTCCATGTAGTACCTCTCTAGCTCCAGGTATTTACCCATCATTTCCTGTATGCAACAACACAACCGGCTGTTGTCTAGTATCATTTTTGCTGTCCGCGTTTTCGGTTCAGCGCCGTCCGCGTTCACCGTCCGCTTGCACACAAACTGTGCGTAGAGATCGTACCGCGCCAGGATCATCACGATCTCCTCCACCAGCAGATCTATGTCCTTGGAGTCGGGTCTTGCCGCCCCGTTTGCGTCCGGTTCTTCCCACATGGTCTTCAGGAGTTCTTTGATCTTGCGCGTCTTGAGGAACGTCCGCAGCATGATGTCACCGAACGTGTCACAGTGACTTTGCAAATGGGATAAGAACTTCAACACATACTCGGGTCCGTAATGGGTCTCGATCAATGGCTGTTGAACCTCGATTGTTTTGGCTACTTCTTCAAAAATAAACGTCAACCCGTCAGCAAATTTTACACTAGCACGATTGCTCGATAATGGTATTTCTATGACGTTTTTTAAATTTTTTTCTGCCGATACTTTTAATAACCGTCCTAAGTAATCGACAAACTTTTCCAAACCCAATTCGTGCATTCCGAGTAATGGGAATATTTTGAAATACCTTTCTATTGAATTCGAGTCTTGGACCAAAGACGCGTGCTCAAATCTTTTAGACACTGTGTCTTGAAGGAGCTCTGAAGCTTCCTGCAAGTTTTTAAGAGCACTTGTAATCATTGAACAATCTTGAGCCATATCATCTGCAGTGCGTTGCAATTTTGTTTGGTCGATTGACAGATAGCGATGTATATGTCCAGCGGCTTGTTCTAATTCGTCATTTTTCATTGCAATCTGAACACCTTCGCTACAAAGTTGCAGGTCTAATAAGTCTTGAACGCGTTTTTGGCATTCTGATACACGTCCGCGTATTTTGTCTAATTGTCGAACTTTAGAGGATATGTCTTCGGCGAGTMTAGAAGAATCGTGAATTCTAGTTTGAATTTGTGATAAGTTTTCTTTAATTGACGTTAAAGTACTAAATTTTTTAGTGACAGAGTCAACTTCCTTTATAACAGTAGGCCATTGATTGGAAAACGTTGACAGACGTTTCCTTGACGCAATTTCATCTCTGTCCAGCAACTCCAGAGCATTGTTTATTTCATCCAGTGTAATATAGTCTTCGTTACTTGACATCATAACCTTTAACAAAATTATAATGTGGAAAAAACTTAACTATAATACTAATTAACTAAGTATACAATTATACTTTCCATTTTATCACCTAATTAGTTTTTTTTTAAGACTACAAAATAATAAACCTAATTTTTTATCATCTTAGATTCTGAGTTTATGTGTAGGTAATTTTATCACAGAATTTGTTCTGTGATTTTATAACCAAATTAAAGAAAATGATAAAATTTAGTACATATTTTTGGTATACCTATACTCTTTGAATAAAACATTAAAATGGTTTATTATTATTTATTAGTTGTATTGAATCAATTATTTTCAAGTCACTTATTCAATGAACATACAATGGTAAAAGAAACCGCGATTTTGAATAAGAATTACAAATATTCAACAAGTTTAATAAAAATAATAACAATAAATTTCAGTATAAAATGAGAACATACTTCAAAAAAATTATATTATAATATCTAATTAAGAACTAACTGGCTGTAGATTTTCACTAATTAAATAAAAACAAACTTTTTAAATATTGTTTAACAAAGTAAAAAATAACTATCTACCTACTTATTAAATAAATATATATACAAACAAATAAATAAATAAATAAGGAGAGCTTAAATATAATATATGATAACATGTTTATTGGCATATTAATTATTAGGTAATATTAACTAAGTAGGTTTACATTATAAATTTAGTAGATTAAAATTTATTTACTATAATATATAGATACCCTTGTCAGGTGGTGGGTTTAATAAGTATTTGGTTAAATAGTGGTAATTAATAAAAAAATGTATTAAAATACATGGATTAAATATAAATAATTATTGTTGAACAGTTATTGCTAATTGCTTTAACTGTTTTAAAACTGTTTCTAATAATTTCTTTTTATCCCTTTCACTTTTCTTTAATACTGAAAATACACTTTTTTTATCAGCTTCTTTTAATTTTTCTAAAACAATAATGGCTGTAGTTGGTTTAACATGAGAATATTTTGATGTTTCTTGACCATAATCATGAAAGTAGGTTGACCAATCCCAGCTCAGGAGTAAGTCCAAAAGTTGTCTCAATGGTGCAAAATGTTGTGAAAAATCTGGCTCATCTGTCTTCCCAACAGGCTCTGATGCAGCAAATAGTTCGCATTGTATAACATCAAGATTCAATTGATTTAAGGCACCCATAGATAATTGTTTAATATCATCACTAAGTAACAAATTTAATATTGATTTTGATATGTGTTCAAATGCTACTTGACACACATGAACAGACACTTCTTCAGTGAGATTTCTTAATGCATTAAAAACAACTCTTAGAAAGTTTATTAAATCAGTAACAAATGAGGAAGCTTGACCAGTCGGTTCTACTAACATCCAATCATAGTCTTCTAAATCTAAAAATTCATTTAATTTTAATTTCATTTTGTCATACATATGATGTTCAGCATCATTTCTGGCCACACCTAATGTTATGCCTGCATCATCACCAACAGTGCCACCAGTAGATCCAGTAGCTTCCGATACAAATTGTTGAATTGATTTTGATGATTTTTCCAAATATCCTGTGTCAACAATAATCTGTATTACTTGTAAAAGACCAAGTCGTGGTTGATGAAATGCAGATGATAAACATCCACTAAAAGTTCGAGATAGTAACAATTTGGTAGATTTCTGAACCATTTCATCTACTTCGCCTTCACTGAAATTTAGATCATTAGAAAACTTTAGACAAGCAAATATAAACTGTTTTACTTGGTCGTAAACACTAGGAACCATTGAAGAAAATGGAAATTTCCTAGGAAATGCTGAGGATTCTAATTGATCATCTTGATATGGAAAAGTTCGCACAACATTATCATATTGTTCTTGATTGTCAACCTCGAGATGACAAAAAGTTTCTCTATACAAAATATCCCTAAACACTTGAACCCATTTTTGCATAAGTATTTCGTTGTAATGTTCTTGTATTTCGTGTAACAATTCCATATAGTTTTTAACAGGATATCCGTAACTTCTTAGTGTTATGCAAAATACCATAATTAAATCTTTAATTCTTAAAAGTAAATTTGCATCTGTACAGTAGGCGGTATTTGTTCTCATTATGCTTACTACTTTATCAGAAGCCATTTTCCACAAGTCTTCTAAATAAGCTCTTGTCAATAATCCATTACCAGTGTTTAATACATGATCTTCTACAACAAAAAATCCTACAATACATTGTAAATAATAACAATAACTTGCAATAGATTCGTGCATATTGTTAGGAGGGTGTAGAGTTAAAAGTGCTTGTTCTCTTCTTTGTTGTCTATAATAAGCGTCAAAAGTATCTCGAGAAGACAATACAGTACAAATATGAAGACAACGGTATACAGGTGAAAAATCAATAAGATCTTGTGCACTTAATGAATCTTCATCATCAGAGTTATCTTCTGGTGAATCTTTTTTCTTCTTTAATTTAGTTAAGCCAAAATCAAAGTTTTGTTGTTCAACACTATGTTTCATAGCAGCTTCACCAACTTTAGAAGAAAATTTTCTTATAGTTTCTAAAAAACAATTTAAATCTGACATGGACGATTCTTTGATATTTTCTCTAAGTTTAGGAATTTTTTMAATAATTTGTCTAAAAAATTTATAATGAGATACTTGAGGCAAATACAATTGTTCAAGTTGTTCTAACGTTTTCAGTGCAGGATAATAACGTTTGTCAGCCATTTGCTTTTGTAATTTACTGTATGAAGAGAGTGCAGGCAAACATAAAGACAAGCTATTAATAGCCATTTGAATATTATTCTCCACCTGTCTGGCTTTAACCAATTCTTCACCTGCATTGGTGACTTCAGAAACAATGGTTTGTACATTTGAATTAAGCTGAACAACTTGTTTTTTTAATTTTGATGCTTGGTTTTCTACTTGCTGCAATTCTCTGATGGAATCTATGAAACCTTGGTAATAGAAATTGCACATACGTTCGATTTCTTTGTCATACTGCTTGATGCGGTTGTCCAAAGTGTCAATGAATTTGCGGCTGTCATCATCTTGGTCGTATATGGCTCGGAAAGTCGGGCCCCAGTAATCATCGATGCCCTCAATCTCTTGTAGCAAATGCTCTTGGTTCTGCATGTTTTCTACACAACAAGCTAGCACAAAAACAAAAACATAACTGGTTTCTTTTTGTAACTTACAAAAACCCTATTCCTATTAATTATTAATAAGACATATGCGCTCTAACTGTTATGAGGAACCTAATCTCGGTACTCAACACAGTCAACCCTAAATTGGTCATTGGGTACCCCAAAAATTTAAACTCTAACACAATACTACTACAAAAAAAATAAATAAATAAATAAAGCTAGCTGATATAGGAATAAACCATAGATCAAGATACTGTATAGACTTCAGGCGGTGGAGTAATCAAACCAAAAATTAATTGTTGCTAACTATAAAAAAAAACACGAATACTACCTATAAGCTACACGTTTGGTACACTTTTATATTATATTATTGTTATTACTGAATTTTGTTACTTACATTTATAAAGATACGTGGAACGAACGAGACATCAATCTCAATGGCTGGTGAACGATTCGGCGAGCAAACTGTACGATTAATATTTCTGGTAAGAAAGTGTTGAACGACACAGGAAAATTGTTATAAATTATGATATGACAAAGCTTGGACGTTCGGCGGCAGACTACAATGTACAAATCAACGACCTGAATTTAATATTAAATAATAAAAATAATATCTAAGTGGAAAGACAGCAGAGGATAGAGCTTTCAGAATTCAGAGCTTTGCGTCTCGCCTCTCGCGATCTGCTGCAGCAGAGGTGCAGAATGCAGATTAAAAAACTAGATGGAAAAAAAAATCGAATGTAAACACCAATAAGCCGTCCGTGGAGGACGCTGCGGTGGTCTACGCAGTGTGACCAACCTTCGGTGGCGGGTTATTCGAACGAGAATATTATATAATAAACATTAAATTATATTATTAGTGTGACAACAAAATCACATATTTTATTTTTAATAGAATAAACACAACAACTATTATGTTGCTTTGCAACTATTAAATAACATTTTTGAATTTTTCTTTTATCTTAGACTTTTGAATACAATTATATACGTACACCATAAAAATAATAATTATACGCGACGAAATAAATATCAAAATTATAACAAATATCTAACTAAAGACGAAATAACGTATTGTATTATGGCCGATGAAAATCCAGTAAGGTCCTTTTGAAATCTATACTATTATAACCGGGGGATGGGAGCGTTTTGTGAACAATTATTCCTATTCGTCTTATCGACGTTAATTATTATTAAATTAGGTTTATTATCATTATCCATTTCAGCTTGCAACTAGCAACTATATAGCAGCTAACTATTAACTATTCTAATCATCATATTCATTATCATTATGTAGGTTGTCGAAGAATTATGATATAATATAAATATACCTATTTTAGAAGTGATATATTATTTGCATGACGTATACAGTTACGGTATTACACAGTGTCGGAATGACAGAATTAAACACTATAACATCTGACCTATTCAAAATATGTTTCTTTAAATATATGAAATTGCCAGATATTCCTAATATACGACTTGTATATTATGCATATATAAATTTTTAGTTTTTACTCTTACGCAGAAAAACCAAAACGAAGACATGTGGTCGAACGGCGCTCAAGACGGTGTTAAATGGAAGGATTTAATGTCCACGCTCATACTGGAACGATTGGAAGCGTCGTTCAACAATAATTGGAAAGATGCATTATCACAAACGACGGCGCCAATGACGCAAAATACAAAAACCTATTGTGATGATGGACGTCCGCAGTGCACCATCATCGGGAGAGAATCGTCTAGGATTGAATATTTTGATTCAGCGTGCAACCATRATGACGACAATACCGGTCACCTGCATATGACTACCAACCGTGACTCATTCGTATAAAACATTTATATTTATATCTAAAATMTAATTAATATTGTGTTATTAATACGAATAGTTGCATAAATCATTTTCCCCTGCAAAAACCGTATGATTTAGCATCCGTACGATGCAAAACGTTGTGATGCAACGCCCTCGTGTGCGCACCCCTATACAGTGCATAACGAGTGACTCGCCAAATCATATTCATTGCTCACCCCTATTTTGTCATTCAGTAAAAATGTTCTAAACATGAAAGTAATAAATACTTTTTGTATGTTAATATTGTTAATATGTATCTAAATTCGAACGAGTAATTTCTGAATTATTGCGAACTGTATATTATATTATCTACTCAGGATAGTATTCTTTAATATTATTTTAAGCAAACCTAAAATATCTACAATAAAATAGATATAGGTAATATTTAGTTTATATTATTAATTATACGCAGACAATTTTTATGAATTTTAAAATGTTAGATTCATTTGGTCAATGTTAATTAAGTACCATAATGCTCAAATAATCATAACCCCGATAGCAATACCTTCCAAGTCTAAAATTCCAATCCTATAGCAAGTGGGCTGTTCTCATCACCTAATAAATTAACGCATTCATTTAAATTTCGGTTTAGATGTATTAAATTTAAGACTAAAGTTTTCAAAATATAATCTGCTTAACAATTTTCAGATATAAAATTGTCTTATTTGAAAAAAAAATTGGTATTGCCACAGAACTAATTAGATCAGATAAAAAGTGTTTAAAAGTATTCGAACTTTATTAGTTTTAAAATCACTTTGCATGTATTTATATGCCTATAAGACGCGAATATCTGGCCCTGAGATACTGCGCACGATAGAAATTGTTTTTTCCGCAATGCGCAGCTGTTAAACCATCATACACTTAGATATTACAGATACACATATTATATTATATGTGTGATATGGGGTGTGTCCTGTAAAGATTTTTTTACAAAATATGTAAGTACTTTGAAAAATGACTAATCTTCGCTATATATTGCTAATATAATGGTTAGTACATAATAAATAATCCACTATCAGCCTGACTACAGCTTCTATAAATTGTAGTAACTTACAATATTTGTTGTTTGTTTATTATGTAATAATAAATTAATAATTAAAAAATATTATAAATTAATTGCTCACATTATTATTACATTTTTAAAATGAAGCCGAAAATGTTARTACTTTAAGTTATAACAGGACATCACAACACTAAAAACAAGTTTTATTAGATTTAAAGTATGTAATGTAACTATGAAATATGTTGTGGGCCTCAAATTTTAACAATAATTATCCAAATTAAT